GGGGTGTCCTTAAAAAAGTAAAGAAGAGGAGGTGAAGGGAAAAGTGAAATCCTCACTTGAAAGAGCTGTTTGGGATGCACAGAAATACAGTAGTTTTTTTGTAATGGATAATCTACTTGCTCTCCTGATGCATGGAGTGGGAAAGGCTGTGGCTCTGTGTCCCAGGGATTGCACCAGGCAAAGGTCAAAGTGGCTTGAGCTCCAGCAGTTGTCTGAGTTCTATGAACAATATGCAGTGCCACTCTATTTTTGATTTTATCTAAAGATCACATCCTGTGATCACGTGGATGTACCAAAAAGCAGGCATCCTCTGAGAACTGACTGGAATTCTGTGTGACTTTTTCATTAATGCTGTGAATATACACTTTGCACAAGGCCCCAATAAGTATCAAAACTCTTAGGCCCAGGATGACCATGTAATAATCTCTTGGAGGCCATTGTGATGAGACAGAAAGCCTGAACTGTATTCCTGACCCTTCTGCTGAGTCATTAAACATCTCTGTGCCACAGCTCACCCACGGAGGAAAGAGGGGTAAGGGAAAACGTCTGCATCGTAGGGAAGGTGGGAATATGAGCCTGAGAAATTCTGTTATTTATGTAGTTTCCTGAAACCTTCAGAGAGTATGAAGTACTTGTATCTGAGCTGCAGAAAACCTCAGAAATGCTGAAGGTTCATCTGTCACTGTTCCTAACAGAGCTGATGAAAAAATGTTTTACAGTGCTGTTACAGGGGAAATTAAGTGGCCGTGTATCTAACATTGATATATTTTTCTACCAACCCCACTCCCAAACCCCTGCAAACCAGCTCCTAGCACTTATTTAACACACATACTGCCACAATGCCTACAGAAACTATGATATGGATCTTACCCCTGCCTGCTTTAGCTGTGCTGAAGGATGCACCAAAAAGTGTCTTCTCCAGGACCTGGTTCTTTTAAAAACCTTGCATTATGGCTGGAACTTTTGTTGGAATCATTGCACTTTCTACTGTAAGGTTATGCCAGTTTGTCATCCTGCCAGTCCTGTTTTCTGTCTCAGTCAAGGGGGATAAACACTTAGCCCTCCTTTTTCTTTCCCTATTACCACACCCCTTGCCTGTAACTGGTATAGATTACATCAGAAATTCCTTGCTGAGCCAGCTCTGCTAATAATTTTTGTTCTAAATCACAGAAAAACCCGTGAAATGTAATCATGTCCATACTTTTGTCCACTGCAAATACCTGGAAGATGAAATTAAACCTTACAAAGGGTAATCCATCTCTTCCCTGATCACTCCAAGCCAGAGGGAGCAGCCAGAGCGCTGGTTTTGCTGGGTTTGTGTGAACTCCTGTTACACGCCGAGGCCACGGGCTGAGAATCTGGGATCTGCCACTCCAGATGGGATTAGAAATCACTGTCACGTAGGAAACGTCTGGCTCTCAATGAAATTATCTTTGAGGGGTGGGTTTGTAAAGACTTTCAGCACAAGTAGGAGAGGAGTGGAAAAGGGGCTGTGTAACTGTACAGCCGAGATCAAATTCAATTATAGCTGAGAATTTGCAGCATTTCCAGTGAACTCTTTCCCTCAGTGAGCACCACGTTGGTTACTCAGCCTCTTCAGCTCCAGAGTTTATTGACTCCTGCAGACTGATGACTCCTTAGGACACGTTTTACAAAGCAGAAGGTGGCACAGGGCCGTGCAGATGCCACCCTGTGCCCCACAGACATGTTTTAAAATAACTGTGCCGGGTCCCAGTGACGCAGGATGACTGTGCTGGGTGGCAGCACCACGGGGCCACTGCAGCACATTGTCCCCACGTGCACAGGCAGGTTGTGACAACCACGGGCACAGACCCAGCACATCAAGAGGGATTTTCTCTCCCCTCGGCGTGGACCTCCAGCCTCTGCTCTTGAAAAACCACTCACTTCAGTCTTACTATGCATTTTTACCTAATTGGCAGAGAGAGAAGTAATTAAATGTAACAGAAACCAGGGCTTCCAAATGAAGATAGAATTTTTGAAGCCACAATTTCTATTACTTTTTATTACCTTTACCTATGGTTTATATGGCAAAGGTTCACAAAACAGATGCAGATGCTGAGCTGGATGGCTTAGTAAATGAAGTCAACTTCTGCAGAGAAAAGCAGAAGGAAGTTAGAAGACATGAGTGAATTCACTTTAATAGCCAAATGAAGTTTTGAGTCACTGCTGACTCAAGTAAAACTCCAATTTAATACACCTCTAAAATATAACGTCTTCCAGATAAGACAGCAGTAATCCACTAACCAAATACACTCAGAAGAGAAAGGGAAATTCTGAGTAAGAGTAGGAATATGAATCATTATTCTGATAATGTTTTTGTTATTATTTTTGCAGATGAATCTGAAAGCTCTTAGGACACAATTAAGTTACCACAGCCAATAAAGACAACAAGCAAAATCAAGGCAGATACTTTCTGCCTAGACACCGTGGTGATGGGCACATTAGAAATGAGGTAGATTAGATAGATGAACTAGACAGACACATCTAACTGTCCTCCAGTGCACTCATTTGTTTGACAGCCTGGAAAATGCCAACATTCCTGGGATTAAATGAAAATAGAAAATTGCATTTTCACTGTAAAGTATACACAGAACTTTGCTATGTCAGATTCTCTTTGTTAAAACAAACCAGGGCCTGACCACGTCCTCCCAGAGAGACCCAAAGCACAATAAGATAAATGACACAGTAACCAAGGCACAACCAGCTGAGAGCCCTTGGGTTGCTACCCTTGTACCCAGGGTATTAGTGAAGCAATAATGACCTGCACACACTTTGATACTCTAATTTTTGTTGAGCTAAACAGCACCAAAAATGCTAAGCTGCCCATCTTACACTGCTTGATATCATATTTCTTTCATCCATGACTTGGAGCTGCTTTACCTTTACGGGCTGCTCAAACAATTTTTGTTCCGTGGTGCCTTTTCCTCCCACTTTGTTCTTCAAGAAAGTAAAAGTAAACAAATACCTTTCGATATAAAAAATAAAGAACAACAACAACTGGAGTGAGTCTCCCCAGAGGTTTCTGGCCCAGGTTGCAGCCGTATCGCTGTGGCTTTTCCTTCAGCTCAGGGAGCACACAGTGACACACAGGGAGCACTTGCACTCCCATTCAGCAGCTCCCTGGTTTTTCCCAGTGCTGGGATGTGTTCTCCAGAGCAGAGCTGGGTTTGGCAGGGAGCACTCTGGATCCTGCTCCTGCCCACTCCAGCTCTGACAGCAGCCCCGGGAGCTGAGCGACGTCCCGGTGCTGCCGGGGAGAACAGAATCCAGCTCCTTGTGACAGTTTTCCCCACACAACATCACAATCAGCCAAACACATTTGTAATCTACTGCAGCTGGTGTTTCTATAATTGATAGAGATATAAAAGCCCTTTTTGCTAAAGTTGTACTTTTGTATTTTTTTTTCTTGGGGGAGTTGTGAGAAAGCAGCTACAAAAAGCAAGCTTTAAATCTCAGATAATGTAGCTCCCTTTAGAATCCCAAGCTTAAAGCAAGTAGTTACGAGTTTTAGCAATGCAAAAAAAGGGAGCTAAAAACAAACATTTATTTTACTTGACGTAGCAAAACAGTGGATTAAAAAGTTAAATCAATGCACCGTCTGAATGGTTCCTGCTGTAGCTGCAATTTCAAATGAAATAAGAATGTTATAAAAACTCGCCCATATTAGGCACATTTGGAAATGTCTCCTTGTAACTGTTCTTTAAGTGTTCTGTCTATGAGCACTAACAGGTCACTGCACAGGAAATGCAAAAATATGTTACATTTTAATCAGGGCATATAAAACACTGTCTAGAATGTTACATTGCCCTTGGGAATCTGTAGTAAGTAGGGGAACTTTTACAAAGTCCAGGTCACTCTCCCCATTACATCACTGTTAAAAAAAAATATTATTAGGTTCAATTATAGAGATGTCATGTATTAGAACTTTCCCAGTTGTAGGATGATGGCTAAGAGATGATTATTTCCTTGGAGAAACTCATAATCACTCCCTTGTTCCCCTCTACATACTTTGTATATTGAAAATAGTGCATTTTAACTGAAGTAAAATGTTTCCAAACAATTACAATGAATGAAGGCAAATATGAGACTGTTCTCACTACATACTCACTGTAACAACAAATTTCAGCACTTTACCCTAACACACAAACAGAAATTGAAAACCTGCCTGGCTGTACCTCATAGGTGATAAAAAATGAAAGAAGGGATTTTAGCAGACATGTTTGGGAATGATTAAGGTAAAATGTCCCTAATCCAAACAAATGGAAACCCAGATGTTGATGGCATCATAACATTCCTCTGCCTCCTCACAATTCTTTCTCCAAATGATTTACCTCTGTTTAAGCAAAATCACAAGTTTGTTAAATCCTTAATAAGTTCACAGAAACAGCAAAAGAGTAATGCAGGAGTGACTGTTTTCTAGATTACCATTCTCAGGATTTTAGTTATTAAATATACAAATGCTGGAGGTGACACAAAACTGTACAATATCCTGAAGGTAACCTGCTCTGCCGAGCCTGGTTCAAGTTTTGTCGCTCACTTTCAAATAGAAAGATTTGATTTATAGGAAAAATGTCCCACAGGGCAGCAAGTGAAATAAAATAAATCCCCTGCCCTGAGTAAAACCGAGTCAGAGCCTCGGGGGCCCATGGCAGGTACCCACAGAGCGACAGAGGGGCTAGCCCTCTGCGACGGGCATGTTGTGGCAGGAGGACTCAGGCTCTCAGACTAACAGGCCCTTTTTATCTAAACAGATATCTGTGGTTGAAACTCCTGGCATGAGTCTTTGTCTTGTCTCTGAGCTGCTTTTGTACCACAGCTACTCAGCTGCCAGTAACATCCACGTGCTGTTCGCCCTGACCCACCTGCGGCCGTGCGCTGGCCCCCCACACCCTCCCCACCTGCTGACCGGCTCCCCCACCTCACACACTGAAACCTCTCAACAGCCCTGCATATACTATATATTGTTATAAATTCACTACCTGAGCTCTTCAATCCTCCTGTTCGACTCTCGCCACCCAAGCTGCAGCCTTGCGCCTCAGTGCCGCCATCTTCTCCCGACTCCCAGCCAGGGATCAAAGTTTGCCTCATTTCGATGGATTTTTGCACCCCTCTTGGGCTGCCTGCTCCATGGCTGGGGACAGGACCGCACCACTGCCATTTAACAGACATGAGGGGCACAGCTCTGGTGAATTTTAAGCTATTTTTTTCACTTTTTCCCCACAGAAGAAGGTCCCACCTCATGAGCGCCAGGCCCACCGTGACATGGTGGCCCCTCACGCCGGGCGCTCCCACCCCAACCCGTCAGCGGCCCTGCAGTCCCTGTTCCCCAGCTGAGGTGCATTGGTTTCCTGCACAATCCATCCCCTCCACAAGGAATAGATGTGTGCAGGCTTTGGGAAAAGCCAGCTGAGGAACACTGGGAGCTGCACGTGTGGAACTACACTGGCTCCAGCCTAGGTCTCGATCTGGACGTGCTCACTGCACCAGCTAATGCTGAACACTGTGCTCTACATCAACTGGGCAATAGTCAAGATTACATTTTTGCCTCTGTTTTCTATGGATATTTGATAATGTCATGCTCTCTGCCCCTGCTTGTCCATGTTCAGCTCCCTAAATTTCCTTCTTTCCAACCTCAGGGGCTGGGCTCCACCTCAACAGACCTTTTCCTCATTCCTTGACTGCTCGGACCCATCGCTGCCCCTGCAGCAGGGAAAGCAATTGTCCTACTTATCCCCAGCTCAAATGTTTTTTAAGGGAATGTAATTGGAAAAGAGAAACTAAGAACAGAGCATGCGTGGTGGAGATGGCACGTTGGAGAATGCTGTGTCACCTTCTAAAAATTCTTTGGCAACAGCAACTTTTAGGCTTTATAAGTCAGACAAATTTGGGTGGATTTTCTCAGGGAAAGCAGAAGATATCTCTGAAAAATGTTCACGTCACTGCCAGAAAGCTCAGTGGTCCCACAGCTTTGAAATAAACCCTGATGAACGTCTTCTAATTTTTTGCCAAATAACATCCTACCCTAAATTACAGGAAGAACATTTTAGGAAAGAAAACACAGATTTTAATAATGGAAATGGTTGCTTTGAGCGGCTCAGAAGTGGAAACATTAGAACCAGTAGAAATCAAACCTCTCAACAGGAAACCCCAAACAATCTGGACTATAGGAATTGTTGAGCCCACGATACAGATGTTACTGTTGCTGTGCCCAGGGCTATCCAGTGCTCCCACATCCATACAACACAGCACTCAAGGCCCCTGCTGGTTTTCTGTTCCTTTCAAGATCTTCCTTTTTTTTTTCACCCCTTTTGGTTATCACTTAGCTGAACTTTTGCCACAGGTGAAGGTGCTGAGCCCTGAACATCAGCGTTGTCTACTTGGTCTTCCCCATCCACAGCATGTTGCCTCTCCAGTTCAGACATTCCATCCAGCAAGAGGGATCATCAGACAAAATCAACAAAATAAATCTACAATTCTGAACACAGAAAAGGTTGATGACTTACATTGTCTTATTTGAGCTGTTTTTTCTCATGCTCAAGTGAAACAATAACCAGGCGAGGCTACAAATCCCAGATCTGAGTCCCTGATTCAGTCAGAGGGGCCCTTGGCCATAAATTTCAGCACAGACTTAAAAATTGATAGAACTCCTTTTTAATCATCAAGTATTCAGCTGCTCATTACTGATATATGCTTTAATGACATGCCTTTAAATTTTGGTCTAGTTTTAGAATACAGTTTCCTCAAATTCCACGGCAAATCCAGTGTTGTGAAATGGAGCCCTGCAATTTTGTTCAAGTGCTTTTTCAGTTCTAAGGTCTGTTTGAAATACAAAATTTAAGGAGTTTGCTATGTCAGGTGACGTTTTGTTAGCTTTTGACAAGAGAAAATATTTAATACCCTCATTTTTTTTCCCCTTGCTCTGAATATTAGTTTAATTGTCACAAATAATTAAACGCTTATGAGTAAGAGACATCTTCAGACATTTTGACAATACATATTAAGAGACACTTTAAGGCAAATCTGCACAGATCGGCTTTTATTTGTTATGCTAAACGATGATGCATCCTGATTGCATTTGTTCCTTATTTGTGTGTGCAACAGGAGACGTACTGTGAATGATCTGTAAGGAATAAAATGACAGTATTTGACAGGCTAGGAAATGTCTGGGCAGGGATACAGGATAAGGAACCCTGAAAGGGCATTGTTTATGGAGGGGCAATGGGTAGAGACACTCCCTTCAATCTAAGGCAAAGAAAGGCGCCAACAACTAAATTACAGTTAATAACAGTAAGAAATAAACATAAATTACTTATACAAGGCTCAAGCTCAAGGACTTTGGACCACTAAAAATATATATTATTATATCAATTATCAAAGAGAGACAAATTCCCATCCTGGGAATTTGCATACGAACTTTAATAACCTACTATTCAGAAATAGAGGCAAGCATTAATTTCCACATGAAAAGGAGCCATGGGAGAGCTTCCCAAGTCCCCAGCTCCAGAGAAAGCCCTACCTGGTGATTCAGCACCAAACGCTCTGGCCTCTGCTCGCCAGGGTAGGAGGTGGTCTCCCAGGTATGGCAGATTAGCCCTATATTCCCTAAGATTTATTCTGAGTTCCTGTCAATATAATGGCTGAAATGACCATTCCTGAAAGGCAATACCATGTGAAAATAGCATAAACAATCCTTAATGAATCCACAGGCTATTACTTGCATCATATTTCTTCTCTAGGCAATACATACATCTCCAGTTTAGAAAACCAGCACTGCCCTTGATCGAAGCCCAACAGTTCCAGTTTACACAAGACAGGGAACTGAGGAAGGTCCATGGGAACTGCTTGGTGCTAAAAGCTTCTGAAAATTCAGGTTTCTCTTTAGATGCCCATGTAAGGATTTAGACCAGTAACATCAGAAGCTGAGCCTCAAACTCAGCGATTTCCAACCACCTCTGGCAGTCTGGGGGGAGGAAAATGTGTATGTCCTGTTTAGCTGCAATTAGAGCAGGTTCTACATATTTCTCAGGGCAATGCATTATATACAGACACATCCCAGGTCTGCCAGAGAAACAGAGAACAGTACATGAGAGGAAAAGTAACCGTAACCAAATTCCCTGGTCCTGAAACTTCCCACTGGCCAAAAACGCATCTGAGGATAATTTAGGGAAAGTAAAAAACTTGATTACTCTGTCTAAAACTATTGCTTAGTAAAGCTCCCTTGGCTTGCCAACACAATTAACAGAGCTCTGCTTTTCCGAACTGTGAGTCTTCCCATTTTGGGGAGCTCCTGGACATGAGCAAAGTGCCTCTTCCTCCATCACAGGGAGGGTTTGATTCACCTTTCTGTAAAACAGGGAAAAATATTCTGCATCACTGCCTTTATCCTGAGTAGTACACAGTATCAATAAGAAAGCCTTGGTAGAAAGGTGCTAAGTGTGAAGAAATATTGCTCCATTTCCTAACAAAGCACACAAATATGAGCAGGAATCATGCAGCTCATCAAAAGCACCAGAAAGCTTTTAATTTTTTTAGCATTTAATGCCAATGATCAATATAACTACTTAGCTTCTTTCTCCTCTCACGTGCTAGTTTAATGCTCCTTTGACTGTGCTTATATATGTTATGACATGGGTGAAAAACACACAAAAAAATAATTTTGGTAGACCAATATACCAGCTGGCAAAAGGTTACATTTCTTCGATACAAAACTGCACATCATAAAAAATCCAGCTCTTTCCTGTGAAATCCACTCCAACTGCAGGAAGTAAATGAGTTCTTCCTATATGTACAAAGAAAATTGCAGGCCTTAGGAATTGTGGTGGTGATTCCCTGTGCAATTCACATGAAAATTATTTATATTTGGAAAATTCTGAGTCAAATTTTTCTACCAAAAAAAATCCCTCCTTCTGTCCAAGAGCAGGGCGAGTGATAGAAACAGGGTTGTTGCCTGCACGTACCAAACTGCACCAATGTGCAGATTTTTATTCCCTCTAAGCAGAGTTTCACTAAAAAAAAAAATAAAATCGTAGCTATCAAGGTATTCCAGAGAATTTAATTATTTTCATTAAAAACAAGAACTGTGTGCAGCTCCGTTTTTTTTTTCAATAGAAATTCTGCAGCGATTCCACATAAACAGACCCAATATCACTTCAGCGAAGTTGCTTTGGGAATATGTAACAGCCTTTTTTAAGTTATGAAAGCAATATTGAATGAGATTTACTACAATTTAAGATAAGTGGGTCTTAATTTTATATGAACAGAGAGACTTAAAAAGCAGGCAAGAAGAGTTCCAATTATATTGTGCTGGAATATTAGGCCCTGTGCAAAATTGCCCCTTTTCTCTTTTACATGCATAAAAACAAGCACAACAGGCTTTTCCATTAAATGAGTCTTTTGAGAGAGATGCAGGAAGAGCCAGAAAGCTCCTTAAAACTTTATTGCTTTTTATCTTTGTCAGGTAAGGCTGTGTATTAAAAATGACCTGTTCTTTCCTGTTCTATCCTTCCTGCAAGTTTTTTCTTCCTGTTTGACCCATCAATTTTAAGTTTCCCAATGAATGGAAGGGTAGACCCGGATTAGTTTTCCCCCAAAACTGAGTAGTTTTGCTTTTCTACAGCCATGTAGAGCTCAGGATGTTTCCCATAGTCTCCTTAGCATCGGGAGTAACTTTAATGAGCCTCAGGTCCATTAGAGGAAAGCAGTTTACAGAACACAGGGAGGAAAGACACAGAAAGGAATGAGATACAGCTCTAATAGATACAAGCCATGGAGATGAAAGAAAGAAGTCAGCATCTCATTTGCATTAATACAATAAAAATACAGCATTAATGTTGCCAGTTGTAAATTTTTTTTTCAATAAAGTTCAGCCTGATTACATCTGGGAAAAGGTGGGCTGTGCATTCCTCGTAGTATTTATCCTTTAAAGAACAGTTACTGGCTATTAACTCTCTGGATTTAATTGCCACCGAAAACAATCTCCAGGAAACTTCAGTTGAAAGTCACTCCTCAAGAACCGATGGTCTGAGCTCTCCAAACTGCTTTGTTTATGGCAATACAAACCCAGAGCTGCAACTCACTCCACTCCACTCCACTCCACTCCACTCCACTCCATCATTATGTTTTGTATTTTGTTTACTGGTGTTATCTGTGTGTACGTGTATAATTATACACACACACACACCAGTTCAGCATCAGAATCACTCAAAAGCAATATTGCCAACCCTGTTTATCCAAAAATCACCATGCACAACCTCAAAAATCATGAGAGCAGCTGAAAACCATCAGATATTGAAAACAGTCACTTTGAGAATCACAGCGTTTTTCCTCTGGCATAAAACTTCAAGCCTGAATGTTTTCGAGCTCCTTAGTTCTCCATAGCAAGGAGTTTTAAATTAATTTTCCTTTTAAAATGCATATTGGACACCTGCATAATTACCAGACTCCAGGAGCTGGAGATTTAAAGAAAATAAACCCAAACAAAGGAGTTTCAGGGGACACCACTCCTAACAGCACAGTTCTGACATTTGGGCAAATATTGGTGGAATAATTAAAAACTGCTCTGAACAACAGAGTGTGCCAGGTACATCCCTCTCCCATACAGGCACTTTTCTCTCCCCCTTGCAGGTATGGATGTGTGCATGCCTGGAAAGGATCCGTTTCCCATACATTTAGGACTGTTTGTTCTATTTAGCTGTGGAATTTTACCAATACTTGGGACCATCAGGCACTGCACGTTACAAACTATGTATTTTTCACAATCAAACCCTATTGTTGTGCCTTTCTTTTTCCTAGGGCAAAGAGGGGAAACATTTCTTTTAGGGAAACAAAGATTCTCTTCATTTTTCTAAATGAAACACTTAATGCAACACTTAGATCAGAAGACCAGTTTTTCCACTTC